TCGGCCTGAACGCAATGGCGGCGCGAGCCGCAGCGGCGATCGACGACATCGACGCCGCCTTAGACGGCGCGCTCGGGCTTGAGGGAGCACTTCCTCGCCGCCGGCTACGCAGAGGGGACCGTCCGCGGCGCGGCGAGCGGCCAGGACGACGGGAGGCGGCTCGGCTGCGACCGTGGGCGCGAGGTGGGGCGAGAGCTCGGCCGATTCCGCGGGGGGCAGGGGACGGGTCGATGGCATACTAGGGGGGGCAGGGTAGTGGGCGGCGATCGCCGCATACCGTCCTATGGCGGCGAGTATCGCTACGCCAGGGAGGACAAGGACGTCGACGTGCGGCTGCTGCTGTTCGAGTCGTTCGGTGGGTTTGGGAAGGGGGTCGGCGAGATCCTCTGGGAGGCGGCGAACGTGCTGCAGAACAAGCTGACGCGGGCCCAGTACTTCGATGAGGTGACTTGGACCACCAAGAGCTGGCTGGGGCTGCAGAAGCAGCGCATCTCAGTCGTTCTTCACACGGCCATCGATCGCAGAGCAGATTGTGAATGAGCTTGCCAGCGGCGAGGGCGGTCGAGTGCACGGAGCTAAGTGCCTCGCCGTCCTCGCGGGAGTCGCTTAGGCGGCTCCAGTGGTGTACCTGTGTTAGTGCCAGTGCGCGCCAGTCCCGTGCCCAGTGTTGTGCGAGGTTGGGTTGTCAAATTCTTTTCCTCGCGATGATTTCCACCGCCCGAGATTTGTGTGAGAGATTTGTACAAACGGCGTTGGTCCAGCCCCTTGCTGCCGCCGCCTTTGCCTCGATGGTGAGCGAGTTCAGTGACAACCGCCGCCGCCTCAGCATTCGACGACGAGGCCTGTCTCTGCAAGCCCCGCCCCTGGCCGAACACACCTCTGCCCGGCCGTCGTTGAGCACGCCTCGGGCGTCGTTGCTGTCGGCGCTCTCCGGACTTTCTACCCGGCTTACTGTCGCATCTGAAACTTCAAGCGACGACGACTCTGGCAAATTCGAGCCGCTCGCGGAGCTGCAGCGCCAGATTGAGGTATGCACTTTCGTAGTCGGCATCGCGCTCTTCAGCACGCTC